ATCAAATACTATCCAAATTTTAAATAAATTATATTTTATGCAGCGAATTAATCAAAGGTTATAGTTAAATATGAGTAAATGTCAGTTATCAGTCATATAAAATTATGAGCAAAATCTGAATTTCTATCTGAATAGCTAGATATGATATGATTATAGATTTGATTTAAATAGATGTCGTGACAACACTTGGTAGCCAAAAAGCTCTGGGCACGCAAAGTGATATTTCGTACTGAAAGTCTGAATGCACATGTACGAAAGTATTATTGTAGTAATAGAAGATTAACCATTGACTAAGAATTTTTACATGGTTAATGGGTAAACAATATGCACACAATAAATCTTTGACGATTATTTCGATATTTTAATATTTTATTGAATTATCTTCGTAATTGTTGTAACTGTAGCTAATAATTGTAAGTACATCTTTGACGATTATTTTGATGTTTTAATACTTGTTATACTCGAATCGTAAAACTTTACAATGAATCGGTCACGTTGATATTGAAGTTCTGTTGTTGCTAATATAAAATCATGAAAATAATACAATACTTTGCCGGAATCCAAACTTATTTATAAGTTATTAAACATGTGATATTAACTATGCCCGATCGCGCATTGCATTATAATGTTCTCATTAAAAAATCATTATTCATTATCTGAAATTTTTTTATTCAAACAGTTAACTGCATATATATTTCTTCCACTGCATTGGCCAAAATCAGTTTTAAACAATTTTTTATGGTACGCGAGTAAGGCTCACGGGAAAGCGTTCATTAGGGGTCCTTGAAACATCAAAAATGCGTGAAAACGAAGAATTTGATAGTGAATTTTTCTATATGCATTTTTGTGCGCCGCATATGAAAAATCACCATTTATCGTATTATCGCATCGCAAAATAAGCGTAGAAAAATTTCAACAACTCCATACCCAATGTATTTTTCGACGAGGAATTCAATCGTGATCTTGAATTTGATCTTTAACGTAACCTTCGAGCTCCGGCGATCCAAAAATCGGTTTTTCTAATGAGAACACCCATTTTTATGACAGATTTGGAAAGAGCGAGAAATTTTACATTGAAATCAACTCTTTGTATTTTTTTTCAAAATATTTTATTGATCCACCGTTTGCGAAAAATCACTGCGTGTTAAAAACGACGAAATTTACAGATTAATCGACAAAATCAAATGAGTCTTTTGTCAGAAACTTTTTAATACAGAGACATAATGATCTTTCGTAAACTAAAACTTGAGGGCTAACTGGAGGCTTAATTATTTGTTATTTTTCAATTACAGTACTAGGCTGTAAAAGTGATAAAAAATGTTTTTTTCAAGAACACACGTGATAAACCTTTTCAGTACCCTATTTGAAAGTATTTTGTTCAGTTACATAGTTGAAATCAGTTAAGCACATTAATAATAATGAGTCTGTTGAACCTCAACACAAGCTTTGAACACGTCAAAGTTACCTGTCGTAGAAATCCAAGAGCGAGCAACCAGCTAAAGAAGGATGTGTCGTTTCATTTTGTTCGATAGCCAATTGGCCAAGGTCGCAATCAAAAGCTAGCCTTAAGATGAACTGTAGCTACTTGTACATTTAGCAAAGTAAAAGTAATTTATGGAAAATGATAAAAAATGAATGCTAAATTCTAGAAAATTGTACATGCAAGTAGCTATACACTCGGCTTGAATAAAAATCGCAGATTTCATCTTCTCCACAATACCTGGTCCTGCGTATACAACGACAACGAAATCTGAATAATGACCACGAGAGTTGATTGGATCCAAGAATAAACCCCGTGAGTGCGTGCGTGGCTAAGAAGTGTGAGATCGAGCGCATTATACGATGTGTACGCATGACGACGACGACGACGACGACGACTGATGGCTAAGTTTACTCGGGTCAATTTGTTTGCGCGTGCACCTTCTCATTCGACACACACACACACACATACATTTAACGCGAGCAAGCAGCAAAGTAGCCGCAGACTCTCAAAATGTATGTAACAAAGAGAGAGAGAGAGAGAGAGAGAGAGAGAAAAAAAAAAAAAAGAAACTCGAGGGGGGGAAAAACACCCGAGGTGCTTTATTACATTTATCCCGCAAGCTCTCGTTCTCTTTTTCTCTCGCCGCTGACAAATAACCGCGTACGTATGCTGCGTACTCTCGCCACCTTGCATGGCTCTCGGGCGTGTTTATCATTGAGCCAGCCGCCTAAAACGACGACTAAACTGCTACGTCGCAGCAGGAGGACTACACTTTGCAGCTGGCTAAAAAACACATATGTGTGTGTACTTATATACGAGCGAAGGAAAATTTTCTTCCCTCTCTCTCTCTCTCTCTCTCTCTCTGGGTACGTAGCAACACACATCTCTCGCTTGCTCCTCTTTAAGGCTATTATTCTGCTGCTTTCTGCCCTTGTGGCGCTCTTGTTTTGCAGGTCTTGCACGCTCAATATTGCAAGGTTCCGGATGCATCAGGTGTTTTGTTGCATCTTTGATCCTGCAATTAGAATTATTATCATTTCTCCATCGAGTTCGACTTTGAAGGTTAGTTTCCTGAATCATTGAAAATCTGAGGAAGTCTCAAACGCGCAGTCGCAGGATTTCAACAAGTGTCCAGTGCCTCTAAAGTGTCGTGTTTACGTTTCGTGTCGTCTTCTGCTGGTGTTTGGAATCTAAGCCTATCACTCTTTCGTCATGTCTCAGTCGGACACGTCGTGCCCTGCAACTTTTCAAGCCGATACCGAACACATTATCAAATATGTCGATATGGCAAACCAAAAATTGGTTGATAAAATGTATGGAATTATGGATCGCCTTATGGATAAAGTTGAAAGCTTGTGTGCGTCGGTTAAAGATCTCGACCGCCGTGTTTCGGAACAGGAAGTCAAGTCATCTACTCTTTCCGAATCGCCAATAAAAAAGGATCTTGAAAATTTAAAAGTCACCACGGCAAAGTGCTCTGAATTTATAGGCAAAATTCCTGAATTTATTGCACCTTACTCACTGCAGACTGACCAGTGCGAGATGCTACTGTCTGGCGTGCCGTCTGGCCTAGAGCTCTCCGACGACCAGGTCCTTGAAAAGACTTTTTCAACTATGGGTTTAAAACATTACGAGCGATTCATAACTAGAACTCGAAGCTGGAAATCAAGGAACCCACGCTCTGTCAAGGAACGCACTCGTGCCATCGTTTTCCAGTGCTCTTCATCGATTGTGCGCGATGGCCTTGTTGCTCAGTCACATAAGCTGTCAAGAATAGGAAATAAGGATCTGTTTGATACTGGCGGCGAATCCCGGCTCTCTCTGAGTCCTTTATGGCCCAAAAATGTATACCATCTGCTTCGTGAAGCCAAATCGTCATCACCAGTATCCCAGCCCAATCGTCCGAAATTTGACTGTCTACATGCGTATATCACCTGAGTCGGAGTTCATACCAATACTCACTAAAGAAGATCTAAATTCACTGGCTTTGAAATTATGATTTCATTCAAGTACCCAGCTGAGCTGAGCTGTCTTTTTCATGTATTTTTCTGCCTTTAATTATTCTCTAATATCTAATATCTCTCAATACTTGAAATTTGCTTTCATACGATCTCAAGCTTTCTATTGTTAATCTTGCTTGTAAATATTGTTACTGATCGATATGTAAATATTACCACCATTGCTCTGCAATTGACTGTATTATACTTTTGTATATTTGTTCTTATGGGCCACATGGGGTTCTACCCCACGGTCCGTTTCAAAATAAAACTCAAACTCAAACTCAAACTCTCTTGGTACGTCTTCGATCGTTTCTCCGTCGCATGTGCCGCCCTCGCCATGTGTGTCGCGCAGATCACAAGGCCGAGACAAAAGAAAAGCAAACGCACAGCTGACACGGTGTACGCGCGCACAAGTGAGCCGTCCAGAGTTCAATTTCGCATCGATAATAATACACCGAATGCGATTTATATAAGTGCGCTAGTCAGCACGACCTCGCGTACATACGTTGCCGCAGCGAGTTATTACACTTTGTTATACCTATCATACGTGCGGCGAATTTTCTTTTTTCGAGCTCGCTTCTCTGTCATCGCACCGAGCGAGCGTAATACAGGAGAAAAAAAAATAAACGTAGAACTCTGCGACTACAAAGAGTCAAAGCACACGCAGAGAGAGAGAGAGAGAGAGAGAGAGAGAGAGACGAAAGAGCGAAGAGCCTGAAAGGGTACGACGCTGTGGTAAAAAGGGAAATTGAGCGAGCTAGACGCAGAGAGAAAGAGAGCCCGAGGTTTTTAAGTAATCCGCAAAAACTAAGCGAGTTTGTATAGACACATCTCTTTCTCTTTTCCCTCTAGCACGTCATGCATAGAATCTCGGGCGCGTGTATGGTTCGGCACGATAGACAGATTAAAACTGACGCTGCCGCGGCAAGACGGAAAGAAAGCTTACCTCGTGTGTGTGTGTATATACGCAAATCTCCCGGCAACTCGATAATAAAGAGCGGCTTCGTTGTGCCGTTGGGAGAATCTAGCGTATAATTAAAAGTTGCGAGAAACGTGCTGCTGCACCTCTGCAATGTGTGTGTGTGTGTGTGTGTGTGTGTGTGCCACAGGGTTCTTCTCTTTATTCAAGATTATCATTTTTAATTGTTCCAGTTGCGGGGGTTATACAGGCGAGAGGTAGGAGAGATGCTCGTGAATTTTATTGAACCAGCTTGATTTGTATAATAATGCGGTTTTTGTTATTTACCCGTGTGGGAGAGAGAGACAGAGAGGAGGGATATTAAAACCTAACATCCGACTCGACAATAAGCGCTCCTTTGTCGTCGTCGTCGTATGCCATCCTCTCTAAAACTTTGCAGGGAGATAATCCCCGCACGAATAAAGCTTATACATATATAGCCACAAAGCTAGCTCTATTATTTTTCGCTTGACTTTTAAATTTTCCCCTACGTCATCGTAGCTGTATAAGGAAATTGCCAAGTTTTTAACGAAATATTTTTCTTTCTCGAATGTTTCAGAGCTCTCGAAGGACCGTCTTCGTCGTAGTCGCCAGCTCCTGCGAGTATCATTGTCATTAGAAGCCCGTTGAACAAAAACCCTCACCGAAGAATCCGCTCCGAGCAGCAGCATGACGTCGAACGATAGCCAGGACTACGGCGCGTACAGCTACAACGACACGAGCGGCGGCCCAGGCGGCTACCTCTACAACGGCAGCAGCGCCATCGACTGCGACGCCCACATGCCGATCATCACCACCCTCCATCAGATCCTCTACTCGATCATCTGCATCGTCGGTCTGCTGGGCAACAGCCTCGTCATCTACGTGGTGCTGCGCTTCTCCAAGATGCAGACCGTCACCAATACCTACATCGTCAATCTCGCGATCGCGGACGAGTGCTTCCTGATCGGCATCCCTTTTCTCGTGGCGACGATGAGCCTCAACATCTGGCCCTTCGGCAAGATCATGTGCAAGGCCTACATGACGACGACGAGCGTCAATCAGTTCACCTCGAGCATCTTCCTGTTCATCATGAGCGCCGATCGCTACATCGCCGTCTGCCATCCGATCTCGTCGCCCAAGCTGCGCACGCCCTTCATCTCCAAGATGGTCTCGCTCACCGCCTGGATCACCAGCGTCGTGTTCATGGTGCCGGTCTTCCTCTACGCCAACACGATGGAGTCGTTGAGCGGCGACATCATCACCTGCAACATCTTCTGGCCCAACGACCACGGCAGCCAGACGACCTTCACCCTCTACAGCTTCGTGCTCGGCTTCGCCATACCGCTCACGCTCATCTTCATCTTCTACTTCCTGGTGATCAGGAAGCTCAAGACCGTCGGCCCCAAGAACAAGTCCAAGGAGAAGAAGCGCTCGCATCGCAAGGTGACGCGCCTCGTGCTCACCGTCATCACCGTCTACGTGATCTGCTGGGCGCCCTACTGGTTCACCCAGATGGCCCTCATCTACACGGAGCCCAACCAGTGCCAGTCGCGCATCACCATCACGATCTTCCTGCTGGCGGGCTTCCTCAGCTACTCCAACAGCGCCATGAACCCGATCCTCTACGCCTTTCTCAGCGACAACTTCAAGAAGAGCTTCCTCAAGGCGTGCACCTGCGCCGCCGGCCAGGACGTCAACGCCACCCTCCACAACGAGAACAGCGTGTTCCCTCACCGACGCAAGCTGGGCGGCGGCGGCGTCGGTGGTGGTTTCGGTGGTGGAGGCGCTGGAGGCGCCAACCTCGATATTCGTCATCAGGCCAACAAGCTCACCATCTCCACGGCCAACTCGAAGAACGACGACGACGAGGCCGAGAACGAGCGGGGACTGCTCATCAGCAAGACGTCCACCACCACCGTGACGATGACGTCGCGCTCCAACGTCACGGCCTCGAGCGTCGACTCCAAGGAGTCGCCCGACAATACCCAGCTCAGGGAGAAGGCGACGCAGGGCGCCAAGAACAACGGCGCCCAGGCCACCTTGCTGACTCAGGTCTAACGCGTTACTCTTACTTGTGCGTTAATTCGACGTTTTGATTCGACCAAGTTTCGAGGCGTTTCAATGATCTAATGTACATATTACATCGGTCGCATATGCATACCATATAAGTGAGCGAACAGTGCGTGGGTGTGATAATTACCTTGTATACTATACCTTCGAGACTATACAATTTTGTAATGGATATAAAATATAAGTAAGAAATCGAGCAACTGGTTTGCGTGTGAAAATGAAATGTGTTTATCAAGAGTGGTTTGATGCTATTGTTTTCCCTTATCTCTCGATGAAAACTGCTTGAAACTTCTAAAATAATTTAAAGATTTTTTTTTTTTAATCGTAAAATGGTTGATTTACATAATGCATAATTTGAAAAATTGATGTAGCTTTCGCCCCCAGCCGAATTTTAACTTGATATAACATTTCGGATTAAAATATTCCATTTTATCGAGTGTACGATAATACGACGATGAGACGATGCACGACGAAGAAAATTTTCTCGGATATTGCAGGTTACTTTGTACGAGAAGCGTACACATAATAAAAATTGATACAATATTTATTCGAGTTACTACGGTTACTTTTTTATATTGAAACATTTTAATTACGAAGCGAAAACATTGACTGTTGTTCAATTGTAAATATAAATATAGATATTATAATTAAAAGCGTTCTAATGATCTAAAAAGCGATTATTAACGTTATACTATATTTTGTATAAAATTGTGTCCGTCTTTGAAACAAAAAAGATGCGAGTGGAATTTTATTGTGTGAAATTATATTATAAAATCCTGGCGAGAATTTCAGAAAAAATTTCGAGAGTAAGTAATGTGAAAGTTATATCCCAAAGAGAGCTTTAAAACAATTTTTTGTAAAATATAAAAGATAAATAAAAATCTAACGTTGTTCACGATAATTATAAATTTTTAATAAACAGTTGAGTTGAGATTGTGCCACTCTAAGTACTACGTTTAAACTAAAAAAAATTACAAGTAAGGGTATGAACAGACGGGACGATTAAAATAAAGTATTTTGTGTATCATAATATTACATGTATCATAATAGAATTAAAAAAAAAAAAAACTCATATAGTCCGAATGTAAGTAAATAAAAAATGAGCCGTGTTTCATAAATAAATTTCTTGCTGTTGAATATGTAACATCCCGAATAAAACCAACTAACGACCCATATACGTTCGACTACATGCTATGGACATAGATATAAATATGTAACACACTTTTGTACAAAGGAAATGGTTTAAATTTATAATCACCTTGATTATGTTTGTTATTATTCAACGAGATATTACAACTAATAAAAAAGATTTTATTCATAATTGTGTAACGTTGTAATCATTATTCTTACTACGATATCAATAAATTTTCTACAATTAGCAGTCTGCAGTTACCTTCATGTACGATCCTAAGAATATTCTCTCACATCTACAAAGATGTCGACTGATTAGACTTGTAACTCTTCAAAAATCTTCTGTGATGCATCGGGTCGCGATTGGAAGCATAATCTCTGACGTGAATTTGATTATGTAAATTTGATGATGGCCTGCAGCTGGGTAATTCGAAGATGGAAAACGAGAAACTTGCAAAAGTCACTCTCAGAAGGAATAGATTTCCTTGGAGAGGCGCACGTATTTAGAGTGGTTAGTCGATTTCACGGTAACATTCATAAACTTTTCAACTAAATGACTGACCGTAATTCACGAGGGATGAGATGAAAGCCGAGCGCGACGCACCTACTTCGAGTAACTTAGCACTTACAGGTGCATTAAGGGGGGAGGGGGGGGGGTCTCGACTAAATTTCAAAAAAAAAAAATTTTTTTATTTTTTTTTGAACATATAGTAAATCGAATTGATCTATAAATCATACATCATTAATAGTTATTTGAAGAATATTCAGTTAAATTTTCAGCCCAAAATACTAAAAATAAGGTGGCTACAGCAAATTTTCACATGCAATGTAAAAAAAATCCGGTGGACACCATCACTCAAAATCTACTCGACCGATCAACTTCATATTTTATACACTATTTAAGTAGATGATATATGAGGTAATGATGTCGAGATATTTTAACTTTTTGCATTTTTAAATGCTTTTTACGAACAAGTACGATGAATTTTTGCCTTCATTCTGTCAAAAAAGTCATTTTTTTCACTTCAAAATGATGCCAAAAACTCAAAAATCATTTTAAATCGATCTTTTTTTTCAGTTTTGTGAGAAAATTTGCTGTACTTAGCTTATTTTTCACTATTTTCAGCTGAAAATTTAACTGAATGTTCTTCAAATAACCATTTATAATGTATATAATTTATAGATAAATTCATTTTACTATGTGCTTAAAAAAATTATTAAAATGCACCTCGAAAACCATCGAACAAGACCCTACCCCCCCTTAATACAGGTATATAGGGCACCTTTCAAATCGATCATCATCAAATTTATTCGTGTTTTAGCGATTATTTGATTATCGCAATTATAGAATGAACTACTGAAGAGATTTTTAAGAATTTCGCCCAGCTACCACTGCAGTCCTTGCATTTGTTATAATATAACGTTATTTATTTACCATATATAACGTTTATTTATTTACCATAGAATTATACAAAGATATTGAAAACTTTTATAGTTAAGATATTTTAAAATGAATTATGAGTCACTTGAGACACTTCCGATAATGTCTCTTTTACTACTCAACTGATACCAACTTCTACTACTAGATGGCTGATACCTAAATCTATGAATCTGCAAGTGGCAAAATCAAAATTATTGTATAAGTCGAAGCACCGTTTTAATAGAAACTTGAATAATTCATTCTGTTTCTCAGGAAACGAAGTAATGTGATATTCTTAGCACTTTTTATTCGAATAAAACGAGCGTGAAAATTTTTTTTAATATTATTCTGCTGTAGCAGCGAATAAACGAGTGGAAACATGTACTTTAATTCCATTCTCTGGAAAAACGAGAAAATTTCCGCGAATTTCGGTCAATAGCCAGTCGAGCTAAACAGTAACCCTGTGTCTTTCAAGACTGACAATGTCATTATAGCTTTTTTTTGCAAATTCACCCTCGACGTTACGAAGGTGCTTCAAAAAGTTCCATTTCAAGAAAACTCGCTGTCTGCGTAGCAAACTGAAAAGGATTAAAGTGGAAATAGTCCGACGGTATGGACGGCACGATGCCACTCTATATATTCTATATATAACAATTTCGTTTCTGCGGCGAGTCGGCGAGAGACAATCGAGACATTTATCTCTTTTTCCGATCTTTTAATTCACTCGTGCGCAGCAACTATTGTTCAATTTGTTTTTTGCACCGACTGTTCGATAAAAATAACAATACATCGTAATATCCATTTGTAAATAATTCATTACTCATTTGGAATGACACGTACACAACCCGCCCCTCTCGACAAGTAAAATTAATTACCGTTTGTGTGTAAAAAAGAACAGGCGTTTAGATGAGCTTGCAAAAAAAAAAAAAATCGAGAAAAAGATAGAGAAAAATCAAGATGACGTCGTTTCATTGTTCAGCGGCTAATACCACGCGTGTAAGAGCTGAAAAGGAAAAAGTGGAATCCAATCTTGAGGATCGCTATTATTGCTCCGCTGCTTGCGCGCGCGCGCGATACATCTACGTCTCTGAAGGAAGAAAAATTAGAGCAACATCATCCAGGATTGTTCGTGACTTTGCAACGTCGCGCGAGCCCGGCGGGGGTGCAGGAGGATGGTAGATCATAGTAGGTGGGGTTGAAAAAGCTCAATCATTCAAACGTTGCCCTCCAACCCAGATCTCTAACGTATTGGAAAATATTCCCCGTCAAGCTATATACCGTCGACTCTCTCTCTCTCTCTCTCTCTCCTTGAAACCTATACATCGCAGATACTCGAAAGCCGCGCGGAATAATCGATAAAATTACTTTATAGAATCGGTAATTTTTTTTTTTTTTTTTTTTTTGTCGCATCGAAAAAAAACATGCATATTTGCCACCACCAGTATCGCATCATCGAACGCGGAGGAGGAGGAAATGAAATTCATTCTCGATTGAAATCTTGTCGCGCGATAAAAGTTTATTATTTATCGCCGAGTTATACACAGCCAAGCGTGCGTCGGTATATATAATAGATCAATTTTTATTCATCCGCGCTCGGTGGGCGTAGTGGCATCCATCGCTGCGCACTGCATTTCGCAGCCGGGGGTTAAACTGTCGTTGTTATTCCAAGATAGGACTGCTGATCTGCATAATATTTCATGACAAGATCTCGTGGAAGCAGCTGCACACGCGTGTGCGGCATAATACGCGTTCACTGCATGTGGCTTCGAGCGCGGCGTGCATAATGCATGTAGGCCATCTATACGTTTACACACACACACACACACATACGAGTACGTGTAAGCTCGTTTTCCATCATCTCAGGTCGTATTAATACGTTAAGGTAGTCTGACACGAGCACACGCAAGCATGTAGCCACCCCAAGTATATGCGTACGAAATAGTGCATCCATCAAGCGGCAGCATTACTGGCACTCAATTATCCAAGAGTAGTATATGTACGGTACACACATTTATATAAAGGATACAACGTAGCGAGGGTAGAGCACAGATTGTGTATCGTAATGCACTGCCGTAGCCGTAGATTGAGTTTCAATGCGCGAAGCCATACATTCACGAGCGGGCTTATGCAATCGACACATATAAGGAAAAATCAACGAGTTTAATGCCTTTCTTTGATGGAAATTTTTTTGCAATCAACCAGTTTACATAATCTTAAAACTGTGGATCAACCCAGGCATTAATATTACACTTACGCTACCACCTCGAATCACAGCCGCAAGAGTAAAGTTGAGCAGTGGCGAAAGGATCGAGGGATATACCTGAGAGCATGGACCGTAGGTAGACTATTATAGGCGAGACACAGCGACGACGCGAGTACTTCCATATCGCTTTAATCCTTTTGTAATCCTCAACTAGGTTCATTATAAGATTTTGATTGCGTGGTGGAGCTCGCTCGGTGCTCTTCCCATATACCTCGAGAGAGAGAGAGAGAGAGAGAGAGAGAGAGAGTTAATCGGCAATCTTGAAAATGGTATATTTCAATTTTACGTGACACATGCTCTCCTGCAGTGTATACGAGATACAATATTGTGGTGGCGAATCTATTTTGGGGACATCGTTGTCATCGATCGACGAAAATCCGTGTCTGGCATTGCCGCGATCAGCAAATTGTGAACTGAAAGCGCCGCGTCTGACCACAGCCGATACGTACTACTTGATACTTTTGAGCTGCGACGAGGTGGAGGGTAAATAAAAAATAACGAATGTAAGTAAACTTCAGTAAGACGAATGAATGAAGAATCTCAAACTACTTACTCTCGAGCGCAATGAAGTGAGCTACCTTAAGGAGACGCTACGTTTTAGATGATCCCAATCCCCCCAAACTTCGCAATCTCTCGCGCGCGCCTCGCTTTCGCGCTGATTATCATTAAAACGGATAGACGATGCAACGGCGGCAACGGCAGCAGCAGCTTTAACGATCGACTTATCTTCGTAAAAGAGAACGAAATCTCACGCGGGCTCTCGTGTGCTTGTACCGTGTAATAGAGGACGATAAGTTTCAGCCTCGTCGTCGTCGTCGTCGTCTTTGTAACGAAGCCAACTAGACTGTCGGCAAAAGATAAAGGTTGCACGCGCGATACATACTGTATGTAATTTTTTTTCCTCTCTGTTTGTATACTTAAATATACACGCTACCAGAAAGTTATTCGTCTCGAGCTTATCGCTTCTATACTGCTCTCTGCTCCAGGCCGTGCACTTAGGTCTTTACTTAACGAACATATAGATGAGATGTGTTTCAAGTGCGCAACACTGATTATCTACACGCGTGTCGGCGGCGGCCATGAGCACGTATAACGCGAAGAACGAACGAAAAAAAAGAAGAGAAAGTAAGAAAGGATTACGGCGTGCTCGAGAAAAATAAAGAAATTACAGGCGGGAATTGGACGGGCGCACGCGAGCTGAAAAGCAAAGAACATCGTCGTAGTCGTCGTGTATGTTGGCCCCTGTTCTATACAACGTAGTTGTTCTCACGCACCTTCATGGCCGGCGCGGAATAATGTAATCAAGGCTCGGGGGTGCCGGCAGTTTACATTTTTTTAATCTTTCTTTTTTTGTTGCGCTAATTTAATACGCAAAAAAAAGTAAATTAGAGAATTTTTTTTCCGTCCGTCGAGGTTCGAGAGCTGGTTTTTTTTTCAACA